TGGACATAAATGAAAAAAAAAAAAACAAAAAAAAACAGAAGAAGCAAGAAGATCAACATCAGATAACACTAATATCTTTACTTGCTGAGATAAATTTCTTTCCCAGAGAAAAGCAATGTAGTAGAGTTAATCCATCAAGCTGAATTATTTAATACAGTGCTATACAAGCAAAGTCCTGTCTGAGGTAGAGCAGACCAGTGTAAGCACAGAGGCTATGCAACTGATCACACTGGAATTGAGAGGAGACTCTGGAAGGTGTCCAAGATACCATTCTTGGGACCAAGAAATAAACATAAATAATTTAATTCAAAATTCTTTAAAGTCACTGGAAAACAAGATGCAAAAACATTGTCCATATAGCAGACAACTGGGTCAGGATGAATTGAATGAGTTTCAGGACAAAACCACAGGAAAGCACTACAGAAAAGGTTAACTTGAACTTGTAAAGGTTTTTAAACACAAGCCAAGTGCCTCCAGAACAGGTCTACGTTTGAAGTGTTTGGCCCACTGGGGCCAAGGGAGCTTGTGGAGCTCATCCATGTGGAGCTGCTCACATTGACACATGAAGAAAACGTGCAAACTGGCAACGCATAAATGAACGAATTTGAGAAAGTCTTTAATTAGAAATAGTCCTAAAACAGCTCTCACAAGTCCCACAAAGGAGAAAATCAGGTCAAAGATTTCCTTGGTATCCCCTTGGTATAGCAAGGACGCATGTATATGTAACACCCAAAAGAGATGTCCTACAGCCTCCTAAGTAAGTTATGGGACTGGATATGAGATTTTCCTTGACTCCAAAATGTGTAGAAACTCATGCTTACCCAGATGATTAATTGCTTAAAAAACCCTTCCCATCTATTCTGCTCTTGAATTCCTAATTATAATCAGTATTGTTGGTATCAGGTCTGATAGATCTGACGTCCCTCTGAAGAATTTTTTTGGAATTCACAGCTATGTACATGCTTCTAAATATTTTCTGAAGCAGCGAAACAATTTCAAATTCATGTTCAGCTTTATATTTGGTATCACCGTTCTTATAGATTAAACTCTGTCTTAATTTATGTTCAGTCATATTTCAAATGGAATGGGATCGATATTTTGTGTCTTGCCAATAGCAGTTTCAGAACAACACCTACAGCTGATCTACAATTTGAGAACAGAAACATGCTTTTCATTCCAAACATACCTTCATCGGTATTTCTAAACTTTACATTAGGCCCTATCCCTAAGTGAATCACACAAGGCATTTCATAATTCTGTTTTTAAAAAGCTGTGGAAAATGGGCTCCTCTACGTCCCTCAGCCCTACGAGCACAAAAACAAGTGGACTTAAGCTACAGTGACTCACAGTTAAAAGTGCTAATGCTTTAATACAGTTAAAGTATTTGTCTCCATCCCTTTTCCTTATTTTTGCAAGATCCTTAAATCTAAATAAATAGAGGATTTATACACATGTATACATACATCTATATAAAAGGAATGTGCACTTTATACAGTGTATTATTATACTTTGACATGGAAGAAACACTGCTGACAATATTTACAATAAACACAGGCTTTTTACTGTATCAACAGGTAGATACCATAATATAAACTGTTTACTTAAATTTAACTACTGCAGATTCTGGAAGGTAGGAAAATGAATAGAGTAGATTGATTATTTAAAAATACAGTACAGGGTTACTCTTCCAGTTCAGAAGTGGAAATACCTTGTGTTTTTATAATCAGTCTTCCTTAAAGGTTTCATTTTGCATTCATGCAACAGTAAACAAATCCTATCAAAATGCAAGGACCTGCACTTTTCAATCTAATCAACAGTGCCAGGCATTAGGAATGATGGAGAGGTACCAATATTAATGTTTTCAGTCTTAAACATAAAAGAATACAACCTGCACCTCTACCTCTGCATTTGTAAAATCGAGACAGGAAATGCTGGTTTCAACAACTGCCTTCATTAAGCTTGTAGACCACATGGTTGAACATTCTTCTTCCCCATAGTCAGTAAAGGTTTCATACAGACCATGGCGCATGCATTTCCAGGGCATGATTCTCAGTACTGATCTCCTAACATCTGGACAGAGATGTTGGTTCAAATGTTTTGCACGTTTCTTTTCTGACCACACAGCCTAATGTCCTTCCCACTAAAACCTGAAAAGAAGATGAGAGAGAGTAGCTCCCAATCTCATCTTGACATAGAACTAGGATGTACTCAGGGTGCTCGCTCACACCAGGAGGGGGCGAGTATTCCTGCATCCCACATTTAGCTGTAACTTCATTAACCTGAAGTGTCACCTCTCTGTACACACAAGGGCAGTCCAAACCAACTATCTGCACCATCAGATCATATACTGTCCTCCTGCACTCTTCTGCCCCATTATTTTCAAAACTGATCCTATGGACAACAGCCTCCTTCAATACGTGACCCTGGTGAATGCCTAAAACAGGTCCATCCAGTGGAATGAATTAAGCAGCTACTTCATAACTTAACTGTGTAATCACGTACTTCAAACAGCATAATGCATATACCAAGTGCAAATCAAGGCTAAAAAGACAACCTTTATTCTGGTATAACTGAACTTTTAAGAGGTGGACTCCACAACCTTAACAGTGTTTTGACAGAGCTTTGCTGTTTTTTTGCTTAGGGTTTTCTTGTTGTTGGGTGAATGGGAAGGTGCAAAACACAGGAGAGGAATAACATAAATTGGAGAAAGCAGACACTCCAATATACAATACTATAAAATCTGTTTGTTTAAAAACAACTGGTATCTGGACAGGACTATGTAACTTCAACTAGGAAACTAAGCAGCAGCTTTTAACACTTATTGTACAGCCGTTATTAAAGAAGTATTTGATGAATAGCTAATTTTGCCTGCTCACTTAAGCATGATGTCTTCCAACAGGAGAGATTCAGTGACCTTAGGCTTTCATGTGCATTTTTGCAGTTTCTGTGTAGTACACTATTATTCCATAATTCTATTTTCACTAACTGTATACTCCTCATATAATGTCTCTTCAGTAACACATTACCTTTTCATTGAGCATAAAAAATGCATTTCACTGCCCTGCTTTAGTCACGCAAACGAACTAATGGCAGAAAAAATGCGAAGTTATTTTCTAGTAAGGCCACCTTGCTATCAGCTGGCTCCTGGAAGACCCAGCAGTAACTATGTGCACCAGGTTAAACTTGAGGGCTGCAGCTTACCTGCATTTTTCATGTCTCTTGAAGCAGTAGAAAAATAAAACCAACCAAAAAATCCTCATAATGATTTGAAGTCTCTTCACTGCAGATCATATAAATAAGGGTAGGAATGAAAAGTACATTTTTCCTTTTACAGCTCCTATTGAATTATGTGAAGTACAGGACTTTTAGGTTTAAAGTAACACAAAGAAGTTTGCGCAAATGACACTGTATTTGATGTCCCTTGACACAGCCAGATATTCCAACCCAAACCAATTTTATGCTTTCTCTTTTTTAAATACGCAGATTTATATATATATTTCTGTCACAGCAATGCAACAGAACAGAAATCCGCATCAACTCCTGATGTGTTTCAATACCACCAGTTTCAAGAAAGAAGAGCTCAGTTTTTACATAGGAATAAAAACTATGCTTTCCTGTAATTGCTTCTTCCTTAACTATATGTCATAGTACTTTCAAAAGTTACAAAAACAGAACATTATGTTCCAAGTACTCAGATTTTCTCATCAAAATGTCAGAAAAGGAGATAAAACCAGGCAAGTCTATTCCAAAATCTTCTCACTATTCTATCCCTTTTGCAACTTCTTTGGTATGTCAGTTCACTCTTGTTTCACATGAAGGCAGTTCTGTCCTGGACCTATTTGAACTGATTAAAAAACTGCTCAAACTGTCTTTTCTCGCAGTAAAATAAAGTAAATGTCAAGCAAACTTAATGTATTAGAAACCTGTTTAGACTGACAGAGCTAGCATTCAGACTTCTGTGTTCATGAAACTGAATCCTCTATTTCAGAGACACACAGATTACCAGAAAACTGGTAATACCACCCAACTATTAGACTTCCAGCCACTGAGAACATGCAAGTCCTGGGGTCTCTACAGACTCCTAGTGTATATACTGAATCAAAAAATATGAGGCCAGAGATTAAATGTTCTAGGACACAAATAGGATTAAAAATCAATTCTGTTCACACCCAAGCAGCCTCATGCTTTATAATGCCATTTAAAGAGTAAGTAGAAAAAAAATATCAATAGGAAATGGCTGACAGTTCGCTTCAGTTTCTTGTTGACAGAAATTACATTTTAGATGTGTAAGATCATCTTTCACAAAAAGTAGTACATATAGTGACACAACTGATACACTTCATCTCTCCTGATCTTCCTCTAGCCCCTCATACCATATTCAGCCTTACACTGCTTATATTAAAACCAGAAACCATTTATAGAATAGGACAGTTATAATCCTGCTTCCAATATGGGGATATTCCAATAAATAATACTCTCTTTAGTGTCATGGAAAATGAAATGGACACTACTAAATATTTTAAGAAGTTCCAAATTCACATAGCAAAATTGAAGATATCTGAGAACGTTTAACCACTGCACAATAATCCTTGAAGAGGTAAGTGTAAACAAATCATGAACCAACTTCTATTTCTCTTTCATCTGCTTAAAACAGATGTGCTGAGGCCAGTAAAACACAGCAGAAAGCTGCTGCCTCGTCAGTTACAAGTCTCCAAATATTCCTAATTACATTTATGTAAAAACTGTAGTGAAAGTTCTCTAGAAGTTAAAAACCCTTACATGAATTATGTAATTTAATTTTTAAAAGTTAGTTTTGAACTGTATGGTATCATTATAATTGGACAGTATGCTGAAAGGAGCTAAGAGACCATATAGTGAAACATCAGTGCATTATTAATTCATTAAATCAGAGAATCACAGGATTCCTTTTAAATGTGACGTATAAAAGAATGCTTTTACAACTAAAGAAACTGAAAACACAGTTCAGAAATGAAACTTACCATTCTTGGTTAAATACTGAACATTCTTCATCACTCCTTCAGTGTAAGCCCCTGGCTCATAATTGTCCATCTCACCCGAAACAATATGAGCTACTCTTGAAGCACGCCCTCGGATCGCACCTGCTGCACGATCTAAATTGTCAGCATTTTGCTCTCTCAGTGCGATGATACACTTGTTTACATCCTCAAGAATATGGCTTTCTGCAAATAAAACAACAGTTGTTTTTAGATGGCACCTCTTACGACATTGGACCTATTTTAGACATTGACTACGTTTTCTTCTTCCCAGTTGAAATACACTGGCCAACATGAATGGGAGTAAAACTTAAAACATGACACTTACACTGAACTCTACTTGAGATCCTTAAAAACAATTTACTCATCTGTAGAAAAGTAATGTCATACTATCCTACAGGCAACAACAACAATAACAAAATGGTCAGTTACAAAGTGTTAGAAAACATCAAAACCACAAAACCTTACATGTATCATGAGTATTTGTAGTATGAAGGAAAATTTAAAGGGATTATGGCTGTTATTTATTGTTGAAACCTTCTTAAACCATCATGACAAAAGGAGCTACTACAAGATGAGTCTTTGCCAAAAAACAACTGCCTAAACAACTAACTTCTTTCATGCCTGTGTGTTAGGATCTTCATGCTAAATCATATTAATAGAGAAATATTTTTGGCTGGTATTAAGACTACATCATTAGATACCAAGTAATTTCAATACACTACATTATTACAAAATGCATGTTGATATTTTACTGTAACAGTTACATCTTTTATACCAATACACTTACTGCATTACTATGTATATTTGATACAATCTTAATATTTAAATACGTGCAAATATAGCTCCCAATATACATATGTAATCAGTTAGCAATATATAACACAATTATGCATTACTGGCTTCCTTTTACAGCTATATAGTTTCACTGTGCCTTCTTGTCTCACAATACCCTCCCCTTCAGCTATCTGTCATGCCCTAACTAAGGAATTCCTCTGTCCTCTTGTTATGCTTTCATTCCTAGAGTATTTTTTCCCTTATTAGAATTTCCCTTGTTCAAATTCGTCACCTCACAAACTCAAAACTACACTGAAAAAATGAAGAACCGTATTTTTCTTCATCTTTTCTCAGTATGACAGTTGGTTTATTGCCCACTTGATTTAAATCATCTGCTGCAGTGTATCCAAAAACTACGCATTTTTACCATAATAATTAAAACACATATGTATGTCATAATTACCTTTTAGCTGTACAAATACTACTAGATTCAAAATACTACACTCCTAGTACAAAAATGAACGTGAATTTTGGGACAGGTAGGGAGATTATATTAATATATATGAAATTCATACGTGACAGGGCGTAATCTCAAACACAAGTTCCTCGATGAGACACTCGAGGGGTTAAAAAATATCTTCCTAGTGAAATGCTTAAAGAAAAAATAAACATGCACAAAATCATCCCACTAAAGGGATGACAGATGTAATAAAACATGATTATTCTTCCACAGTACTATAAAAAAAACAACAGTATACATCACAGTAATTGCTATCTTCTGAATATAGCGAATATTTATCAAACATTGAAGAAGCCATGCAAATGTTAAAGTAAAATCAATACACAGTGGAGAGCTGAAGAAATCTTTGTTATACGGTTAACAAGAGGTACCCAGTGGTGTCTTTGCTAAGGACAGGAGTTGAAGTAAACCGATTCTGTCTTCCTTTGAGATTAAACACATTTCTAGTGGGAGGTGTTCCTTATGATGGGGGATTGGAATTAGATGGTGTTTAAGGTCCCTTCCAACCCAAACCATTCTATGATAATACGATATTTGCAAAGTTACACAACTCTTTTTCTATAAGAGATTATTACACGCTTCTTTCTGAACATCCATCTTCTCAGCCTTTCCAGTGGCAATATTAAAGTTACATTTCTGCTCAACAAAATAATTTTTGATAAACAAATTTATAGCAACAGGAAGGAAAAAAGAACATCATCAGGAAGGAAGACAGATGAAAGAAAAAAAAACACTAGTATTAAAGTAAGAAATATGGGCCATAAAACTAAAGAGTAACAGACCTGTGCAGGAATTCTGTTCAGGCTGGAGAACAGTACCAGGAATGTCAAGAGTTACACAGAGAACAAGTATGTGGTATTATGTTAATATTGCAGTCTATAATACAAGTATTGGAAGGCATATCCTATTTCTTCATAGACAAAGTAATCTAAATATAAAACTGAATTAAACTGTATAAAGGGTAAAACCATAAAATGTAAAAAAGAATATGTTTACAGTTTTGAAGCTGAAATGCTTTTTAAAAGCATCTGTTAGTTTTGATATTGGATTTCCTTTTCTACACAAACCTAAAATCTGCTGTCTCTCAGAGACTATTGTAAAACAACATTAGAAACACAAGATGTGAAGGTAACAGATCTGTTCTATCTTCAGAAGTACCATTGTAAAACTTCTCTTGCATTAAAGCATGAAATAATTCACAGTATACATGCTTCTTTTTAACTCAGATAACTGCCATTCAGTGTATTAGCATTAAATTACATTTTATGTTACACAATAAATTGTAAAATCATGATAACTCAAACAGACAAAACACATCAAACAGGTAATCCTGAATTACAAACTGCATCTACCATGAGTATCCTGGGATTCTGTCTATACAAAAAATTATGAATTCTGGTTCAGCTTACAGAACAGCTACATCACAGAATGCCTCTGTGAATATGGAAACACGTATTTGTCCCTGTCCAAATTCTTCCCCGGACATGTCCACAATATCAAAGGTCAGCAGAAAAAGGGAAGTTTACTTGTAGTGACTTTTATCACCCTGTTTGTTCAGCCTGCTCAAACTCTCTAACTACTCCCATGGACTATCATCTACATGAAAACAGGGCAATGGCAAGACTGGTAACTATTGCAGTTTCACTGATGCCAACTATGCAGAAGAAAGGGGCAAACAGCAAGATGCAAAGAGACATTTTGGGAACTATCCTGTGCTACTTACACAGGTTAATACTTTCTCTTTTTTCAAGCATCTTTCCCTTTGTGCGTTCCACAGCAGGAGACTTACTAACAATCCAGTGTGTGAATGTGCACATGGTTGATAAAGGCTGAAGCACAGACAGAAATGCCCTAAGGGCTGACAGGCAAAGAATGCAGGAGAAAGGACTAACAAAAAAACAATTTTGTTACCATAGTTATGTCTAAAAGGAAGAAGTACAAGTCACCATTACATTAGGTTTATTACTGTTGATGTGTTAAGAAGGAATTAGATGCAGCAACCTCTACTTTTAGGTCCTTTGTGTGAAGAATACACTGCTTTTTAACTGCTCATCAAAGATGACAACTAAAGGGTTTAGGGGCTTTGTAAACAGAAAGGTACAGTTCTTCTGATATTTACTAAGTGAAATCTCAACCATAGAAAAACATAAATAACTTACTATCTTGAATTATATTTATCTCAAGTAACTTTACAATAAAAACTGCATGTGGCCTACTACTCTATATGAATGTAAATACTATATAAATGGCACACATAATGGAAAGTTCACTTTTTCCAAACCCTTCCAAGAGAAGTCAAAGGCAAGACTTCCATGGAGAAAGAAAAAGCAAACTTGAGGCCAAAATCTTTACATAAATACCCTTACACCTGACCTGCACATTGTAACCTGAGGTCCCCATTAGCTGCTTCCTTCCAAATAGTAAGTCTTTTTAGAATATAATTATCAGAGCATGTAAGAATATCAGGAGATATCAATTAAAATACAAGACCCTGCAAATACCATGTTTCAAAGATGACCAAAACAGAAACAGATTTGAATAACTGCATACTGTCCACACACCTTGTACTAGAGTTATGTGTCTTTATCTGCTACATTTTTTCTTGCTACATCCCTAATTTTCACAATGGATCAGATAAGTACTTGACACAAATGCTATGCATCAAAAACTCACGAGCTCTTGTCAGCATGACAGAATGCACAGAAAATATGCATGCTCAATGAGAACAAATGGCTACATTCCCACACACCAGTAATACTGAGTGGTAGCCTTTCTGAATACCAGAGCCTACATGAACAGTCTCACTATAATCTGAAGCTCTTCCCAGATGAGGTACTTCACAATCAATAGCTTAAACACTGTTTAACTTACTTTCCACAGGGCATTTCCTGTTAACATTTGTCTTAGAAATTAAAGGAAAAAGGAGAAAGACAGCACTGATAACAGGCCAGCTGAGATCATTTTAACCTGCAACTTTCTTACAAATGCTTCCTCCTATTACATAAAATGCATTAGATAACTTTTTTATTTTCATCCAGGTATCCTACATACTGTGAGAAACACTCCGTAGCCAATAACTTAGGCTCAGGCGAGGATCTCAGTGAAGTAGTAATTTATTCGCGATTGCAATGGCGGGCGCCCCACAAGCAGGAGAGAGCGCATCTACTAGTTCCAAAACACAGTTTATATACCTTTTGATGGCAGGACCCTCCCCTGTTTCCCCACTGAGTGGGTAATCCAGGTTCACAATCTATCTGATGCTTCACAAACAATGCATGGCCTTCAGTTGCTGGCCTGTTAAATTTCAAATTTCTTTTGACATTTTTACTGCTTGAAGTGGTAATGTTTCTTCACTTATCTGACTTGACTTGACACCGTGATTTTCACCTAATTGTCCTAAGGAGTCTGTTTGTCTGCATTTTACTAGGTTGCCTGCTAAACTTTCTTATCACTGTAAGCATATCTCAGTACCACATTCCCTCCTTCAAAACAATGTAACTCTGCAAAAACAACATTTCTATTCCCACAATACCAAAGCAGAAAAGGAAGTTTACGACAATGTACCATCTCGTTGTCCTGATTCAAAATATTTAAGAGTTAATTCTTACAGTGAATTAACAGACTTTTAAAGAACTTGTCAGATTGCCAGTCACCACAGCAGCTATCACGAGTGGTGCATTGTACCTTCTGATCTTCCTTTGGGATCTTGGTGTTAACTATACTGGTCAAAACTCTTATCTCAGCTGAGCTAACTATCATATAATAAAGCTGGTTTTGACAAAGACATTACTCAGACTATCTCTAGGACAAAACTAATGGCTCTTCCTTAGCATATCATTTGAAGAAAAAGACAGGTGATGCCCTTCCCCTCCATATGGCACTAGTAAAG